TGTTGAAGGAAAATTGAAACGTAGAAAATTTAAATTTTAGTATACATTTATTAAATTATATAATAAATTAGTTCGGCACGAACTTTCCGGATAATCAATATATTTTATACGCAATTTTTATTGTTATACTTTTGCTCTAAATTTTTCTTCGAATTCTAGGAATTTGAACAACAACAAACAGTAGTGGAAAAGAATTTGCAGTCAGTGATTCGCGTTCGTGATAGGACTAATTCAATGGAAACGCTGTGGCAAGCGACGGATTTTTTGGATTGGGTTTATCGGCTGAAGAACAACGATATAGAAGATTCGATAAAGGAACTGCAGAGTAATAAATTAAACTGGGAGTGTGACGAAAGTAAACATTCGGAAGTATTTGAAGATTCATTAAATAATAGTAAGATCTCGATAAATATGACCCCTGTAAAGAGACAATTGAATGAGAGTATTCACCAGTTCTCGATGGACGCGTCGATACTGGAAGCGACAATGAACGATACATCCTTAATACATGATCAACAGGAAAATGTAAATGCATGTCTCACTCAAATCGAAGTCGCCGCAAAAACGTTGAAAAAGTTATGCCATCGGTATCAAAATCACGATACTAAATCAATCGTTGAATCATTGGGTAAGATGCAAAATATTATAGAGTCCTTAAAAAATATTTTCCAGAATAAAGATTCGAGTGAATGCGAGGATGTAAGTGCAAATTCGATAAACAGTGCCAATAATACTGTTATCGACATGTCGAACGACGTAAAGAACATTTCTTCAAATAAAGATGCAGACAAATGCAAAGAAAAAGATGCTATTTCAATAGACAGTATTAATAATGACTTAGCTAAATTAACAACAGAAGTTACTGAAAATTGCTCAAATCATATGTCACCGAAAAAATCTAGTATGCGGAATAATGCGCTAGTTACGAAAGTTGAAAATGTTCAAAAGAACGTAAGGTTTATTGATAAAACCGAACAATGAACCGGATAAATAAATAACTGCATGAAATACTCATTATTTTTGAACAAGCTTCCACTATTATTCATTTTAAAAATATAAGAAATACATATATATATGTATAATATTAATAATACATATTACATTATAAATTTAAATTTATGCAATATTTCATTAATTTATATATTTTTATTCAAATAAGCCTTTACGAATTTTCGTTTTTTTATTATTTAATTATTGTTCTTTATAAAATTTTTTAATTTAGTCTGTATTAAACAAGATCTTATTTTATGTAATTGAACTAAAAAAAGATTTAGTAATTACTCCTAAATTACTGAAACATAAGGAATTTATGTGCACAAAATATTACTTTTAAAATTTGTTAGGTAAAAGTAGAATTAGTAACTTGTAAATTACAATTTTACTTTAAGTGTAACTTGTAAGAAAAATAGTACTTATAACTTTAGAATATTACATTGCCAATTGTATATTATATATATAAACTAAGAGTTATAATGATGGATTATAATACTGTAATGTATGCTAATGATTAAAAAAGAAAATTTTAATACTTATATTTAAATTTAAAAGATCTGATTCAATATAATTGAAACATAATTTGTTTTCCACAGAAATAAATTAAAATTTGTGTGCTTAAAAGACTGTATATATAAAAGACTGCGAATATTTTATAAAATAATCATATTTTATGTGCCATAGTAATAATAAATATTATAAGCCAAACAATCACAATAGAAATTATATGTATATGTCGTATTTCTGGCGAGCGGATGAATCACAATTAAGTTAATGGTATATCAATCAAAATAATCTTCAATATCAATATCAGGATTTAACAAATCTTCGCCATACATACTTAAATCCAACTGATTAAGTATCAAATTTTCACACATCTCCTCCAAATCCGTTTCTCCAATAAGCACTGCTCCCTGCATTTTGCCATCCTGTAAGATAATTTTAACGTACTCCTGATCCTTCGTGATTCGTAAAAGTACCTCGTAATTTTTCCCCAATGTTTGCCCATTATACAAACCGAGTAAAACAACTTTATAGGAAAAAAATTTGGTCACGTGAGTGAAAAGTTCGAAGCAGAAGTCTTGCAAGAATTCTTCGTTTCGTAAATTCGAGACCATTGATTTTGCGGCGTAACGGCCCATCTGATGAGCCTGCGTCCACAGTCTCATTTGAAACCAATGTTTCGTTTTCGGCCAACTGACAGTACACACATCTCCGGCAGCGTAAATGTCCTGCTTTGAAGTTTCTAGCTTCCAATCCACTAATAATCCTGAATCCTCCCCTTTTTCAAGCTCTTCTAACCCGCATATATCGGAATTTGGAGTAACACCTGTTGCTGAGATAATAAGATCGCATCCGATAATTTTACTGTTCGTTAATTGCGCATAAATTGGCCACTCTTCTGTGGAATCGAATTGTTTTCGTTCATCGAAAGTGAGTAATTTTGATATCTCGCACTCGTATTCAATTTGGACATTTGTAGGCGTAAAATGTGTACCGCTCATATTAAAACTATTGTGCCAATCCGGACCAAGAGCAACTCCATTTTTAACTGGAGTGCTATCCGATACAACATATCTCATTCTTTTAGTTGGTAAATCTTTATTAAGATTTCCTGATACATCAGCTTTAGAAGAAATCTTGTTTAAAAAAAATTCTGCAGCTCCAGGATCGACAAAAGTCGCAGAAATGTGTTTGTCTTTAATTACCCAGATCATGTCGACGCCTTTAACTTCATGCACTATTTCGGTAGCAATTCCTCCATTGCCAACAATAATGATTCTTCTCGCGTCTCTAAGTTTGTGGGAAAATTGTAATACGGATTCCGTATCACGAATACCTATAACGAAATCATTGTTTTCGGCTATCAGTTTGGGTTTGGCGCCAGTACAAAGACATAACATCTTAAAACTTATGACTTTTTCATTGCCGATTTCTATCAGTTTCTTGATCGTATCAATTTTAACTACAGTATCATGAATAATTCGTAACATTTTATGCTTCTCACTTAAAACTGTTGTGCTTTTTTCTTCTACGTCGAAATGCATTAATGTTCTGCCTAATGGGACTATATTTGTCACAGCTTTTACCAGGGGACTAGCGGTAATTAAAATTATGCTTTCATCTGGAGCGAGGAAACTCAATCCTTCGGCGCAAGATACTCCAGCTATACCACCTCCTATTATAACAAAGGTAGATTCTATCTTTTCCATATTTTTCTTGGATTCATTCATATTTAATAAACGAATATACAGATGTCGTAATATGACAATATAAATAATTAAAGATTAATTGTTTAATGGATTCCATTCTGAATAATCATATTGTCTTATAGGAAGATCAAATGTAATAGTCCCATAATCCTTGGCCTTAGTTAATGCAACTAGGAGTTGTTTGTGCCTCCTTTGACAAATATTTGTTTGCCTATAAAGATATTTAAATCTATAAGATATATATGTATATATATATATATATATGAAAAAAAGGAAGTGCTAATATAACAGAAATGTATAAAGAGAAATGTTGATAAGGAGAGCACAAAATGCTTCCATAATGCATAATGTATAATGCATAAAAAATGAAACAAAGTTCTTCATTTCCTTCTTTTCCATGAAATAAAAAACTGATTGATTTTCTTATGTTTTATGCATTATATAAAAGTTTGTGCTCTGGCCTTAAATGCTTACTTACGAGTAACTCAAAACGCTTCCGTTATATTTGTTGATAAATTGCTCAAGCAACTTGACGTTTCTATGATCAAGTACGAGATATTCGTCTCTACATATGGGACATGGACTTCCAGTCGAAATTTGGCCGTATCTCTAATTAATTATACTGCATTATTAAAAGCATTTATATTATATTATCATTAATATGAGAAAGATGCATACGTACTATACAAGTTTTTCGAGTTTTTTTAGGTGGAATTTGTCCTTTAAAATTTCTTCTATATATTTTCCATACTGGATCATCTCCATAAGTCTGTTTGTAAGCTGTATTTTGGAATAATTCCAAATCACATGATAATGATAAGTTTGTAAAATAAATCTTAAGTTAGACAATTGTGTTGTGTTTAAAGCTCGTGAACAATTTCTTACCATCACTATTCATATACTTGATGCTAGTCTCTACTGATACAATTGGTATACGTGCAACTTTAGGAGTTTTCACAGCTGAACTGTCACTTTCAGTTGTATTTTCTTCCTTGGAACAACATGTAAGCGAAAATGTGATGGCTCTCGCTGGATCAAGCTGCAAGCAATTTATATCTATAAAGGCGACTTCGACCAAACTTTAAGTAATTTAAGTGGCGATTAATTCATTGAGCAATATCTGTACTAGCTTATCAATATAGACAGAATAATTAAATTTTGTTTAATACATAAAAAAAAATTAAATTAGGGATAGTAAATTGTGTAATTAGAAATCTTGCATTAAACCGTTCTGCCGATTGAATTAACTATTGACTAAGTTAATCAGTGATAGTTCAACCAACGGAGTTGCTGTACAAAATTCTTAATTATACAATTTTATCTCAGATTTAAACAATACATAATTATTTTGTTAACAAAATAATGTAGATATTTCTTGATAAGTTAATCGCCAACTAAGTTCGGTCAAATCAAAGTTCGGTCAAATATCCTTAAAGAATATAGACTTACAAATTATTGAAAAAAACTCACTTTGCCAATTAAATTCGCTCGTAGCAACGTTCCTGCTCGATGTAGTGTATTTAGAATCGACATACTCGATTCAATAACTATGATAATAAATATTATTATAGTACAATTACTAATTATTACATATAGTACTTTATAAAGTTGACGTATACCTATTAGAGATAACCTCGAATTTATGATAGCAAATCATACAGTACGAACAATTGTGAATTAAATGTATTAAGCGTATTATTATAAATTAAGCAATTTACTAAACAGTTTTTAATTAGGAAATAAAATAATTAATGCGATAGAATAAGAGAAAAAGTGCTATGAACATAACTTGAAATTATGATTACAATTAGACTTCTATAGACTTCTGTGATTACAACAGAATGGGCACAATGAATATGGGCCTGTTCTATGTAATAAATTATGTTATAGATGTGTTCGCGTTGTTTAAAATCTCAAAAAATTTTTTTATACATACGTAATATTCAAAAGAGAGAGAAAACGAAAGTACGAGAGTACAAACAAGTCCAACTAGTGCAAAATGCGAACAAACCTAAAAGTAAATTTTCACGAGCTGCTCAAATCAATTTCAACGACAAAAAGGATCACGTGGTCAAAATTGACGAATTCAAGCGTTTGTTTTGATTACATGATCCTTTTTGTTGCTGAAACAGCTGGTTAGAGAAGCTCGTGAAAATTTATCTTAAGGCTAAAATAGAATCGACAACCAGCAACCGACAACCTATAATTACGGCTTTTCTGTAACCTGCTAGATTACTAGCTGTGGATTAGAATTTAGAATCTTAGGTTTATCCACTCAACATTCTCCTACTCACTCTATCAAACGCATTGGAATGAGTAAGAACTATGGTAGGAGCATGGGTGAATTCAGGAAATCTGGGTATTGGTAGGGTGAGATAAATTCTGGATGCACCCCAGAGTGATATAGACGAAGAAGTTTCTGAACGCCTTGGGTGATGCAATTGGATGACTTTACATGCCCTTTCTCAATCTTTACTGATAAACATCAGTAAAGATTGAGAAAGGGCATGTAAAGTAAAATTAAACGCTGTCACGAAAAAGAAATCATATTTGTTCTAGAAGTCAATTGTATATTGAACGTAGTATCCTAAAAATCTTTCAATAAATATGTATAATTTAACCTTACTTTCATCAGACACGTGATTTATAATGCGAAATGCGCATTGCGTATGCGGGGCAACTTTTATTCAATTGAAAAGTAAGTTGACGATAGAGTGATCTAAATCGTTTCTGAACGTCTGAGGCGCACACTAGGCACTCCAAAGTTACCTAGACGTAATTTCTGAACGCACCCCATATTACAACATGTTGGAGCATGTGACGTGAACAAACCTCTTGTCACCGTATTGGCTGCGATGCTGTCAGTAGCCTAGTTTCCATCGAAGGTTTAAACCGGATCAGAATGTAAGAACTAACCAACTACCGTCGAATATTCCCCTATCATGCATGGTCTACAATGGCAGTATCAGTAATAGATGAGGTTGAAGAGTAAGAAATTGACCAATCACAGTCGATTCTTCTCACATTCAACTATGATTAATTTGTTATTCTCATAATCTTATCCACTACTGCTAATACCATTGTAGACCACGCATTACGCGTCATTAGTTGAACGCATTTCCGGTTTAAACTCTCGGTGGAAACGAGGCCAGTGTCAGAAGGCAGTGAGCGCGTTCAAAGCTGCTAGCCTTGAATGTGATTGGTTGGATCTATCAGGCCAGAATCAGATTATTGAAGATTGAGATTAAAGATCAAAAATTGAAATTTCCTCAATGAAGACAAAGAAATTTTGGCTTCTTTTGTTCTGATTGATCAAACTTCAATCTTAGTAAGGAGCTCCGCACAATAAAAGAAACAGGAAACAGAGAATAAGAATTTCAACCTATCAGAAATCATGTATTGTGGAATATACAGTTTCTGATAGATTGAAAATCTTATTCTCTGTTTTCTGTTCTCTGTTCCTTTTATTGTGCGGAGCCCTTTACTCGTATTCATAATCAGGCCTTATATTTAAGGCTTCCTTAAATTTATTTTTAGATATTCAGCAGCCAATAAATGTAAGGTCTATCAATATGGGTATTACACTCTTCAATCTCATTTTTCAATGCATAGTTTGATTCCGACCTAAGTAATCAACCAATCATACTCATTTAATCGCTTTAGGCTGAGTTTTCACTTGATGCTGAAAATGAGCGTCGTAGCGTCAAGTGAAAATCCAGCCTTAAAGTGCCATTACATGGGAGCATCAAACATCGAGCATTGAATATCGAATAAGCTTACTATTCGCTAAAACCAGGTCACGTGATCAAAATTATAGCAAACTCACGATGCTGGACGCTTAATACTTAACGCTATCATGTAAAAATACCTTTAGTTCTGTTTTCTATGGTTGAACTAGTATACACTTTTGAAATTTGAAGTGAGATAGATATATATATATTTGATATTGAAAGTGAGAAAGACAGTGCTAGTGCAGTCTAGTACAGGAACAGAAAACAGACCATTTACCGATTAGAACGCAATACGAATAAATGTCACAAAGAGTTATACTCGTATTCATAATCAAGCCTTAAGTATAAGGGCTATGAATACGGGCAATAAATGCGTCGTCTTTCTGGTTGCGATGTAATCGAGTCAATACAAATTTTAAATAGCATTTACATAATGCTAACGTAATTTATCCCGGTTTGATATTGCTCATTGAATAGATTTAAATCGCAATCAATTTATTTTCACGCTATGATGCAAAAGTTAATGTAACTCGAGAATTTGAATGCGCATCCAGAATCATGATTTGACCAGCTTAGTAGAAGAAGCGGAATGTAGCTGGGCAACGGGTATTTCCGCCTTGTTCGTTGATTGCGGCGGTTTTACGCAGTCAGGTGAGGAGCGTCTTAAAAGTTGTCAAGGTCTAATTATATATAGCGACGGAGGCGAAATAACGAACGGACACGTGTGCATGATAACGGCGACGGATTCTAGACGACATTTAATTGCAGATGGAAAATGGACGACGGGGCGTGCGCGGATAACGTATGAGGGTCGCGTAGCGTCCGTGGATACGATAGGAAGAATCCACACAAACAGCAGGCGGAATTCTTATTATCAGGATATCTACAAACTCCATATTAGGATATATTCAGGATATGGTTTCTTGCATCCGTTGTGAATATTTATTTTCCATAAAAAGGATTTAATTTTAATCAATGTGAGTGGCTATTTCTATTCTCCAGCAAATAGAACAAAAAAAAACCAAAGACAAAGAGATTACAATTAGCATACAATTTCCACCAAAAGTGTCGAGATAATACTTTAATAAAGGCAGAGTGATATTGAGATATCCAACCAATTTCTGATGGTTGTAAGACTTCTAAGTCATGTCTCGCGTAATCGTGGCATTATATGAATGTTCGACGACGTGATAAGAGACAGCATTATCATTCGACCGAAGGTGAATCATGTCGACTGTTGGTGACGTAATCGCATTCGTGATTTTGGGTATCGAGCTAAGAGGGTTTGCGAGAAGAACGCCTTTGCAAGTGTTATAATCTGATCGTGCCAGAATATCGTTAAGTTTTCCTATTAAACGAGTGTCAAAGTAGCAAAAGAAAAAAAAAGTGCTGAACCTTTTTTTCCTTTTAGATACCAATGCGAGAACTATGGACTTCAGATCGTTTTTTGTGTTATATAAATAGATTGAATAGAACGTTTTAGGATTGGCAGCAGGGGGGGGAGGGAAGATTCGTCACAGCGATGAGTGACAAAAGCACGGGTGTTGGCTGGCGGAGGAGGGGCGTTCGCGATTCTGATTGGTCGCTCACGCGGCGGACGAACGGGGTCTGCGTCACGGCGACTCGCGGCTGCGCATTGAACGGCCGAGCTAGTCGTGTGAGAATTACCGTTGCGGATCAGCAGCACCTCGTTTTATTTTCATCTACGTCTTTGGAGCATTTTTAACGAGCGGCTTTTACAATTTTCGCTAACGTATCTATTTTAAAGCGATAGGGAATAACATATGGTAAATTACATAATCCTAAACCTTATTGAGCGTAAATAGGTCAGACGCGAGAACTTCGTCGGGGAATTGCTTTTATAACGAAATGTCCTCGTTATGGCGTCTATCTTTATTGCGCGTTTTAATTTTCATAAATGAAATAACGGAGACTTGATCTCGAAGGAAATTTTAACAATCGAAGGATGAATTGGGTTGAGATCCGATCGCGATATAGTCGCGATATGGCCGATCGATCGGTCTACGTTTTGAGCGAACCTACGAGAACACGTATTCTACAATATGGCGTGATGAGTGCGTCGTTTCTTGCTCGAGTCGCCGGATGCAATTATAAAGTATTTTACGTTTCATTGCAGACGTGCGCGCGGATGATTTTGAGGGTCGATTCACGTCCAGTGTAATGAAAATGCGTTAGAACGTCTTGAACATCAGCAAAATGGTGAGTATGGCATACATAATATACTTTTTTTTTTACTTTTATCACGAACACGATGAATTGTATGATAAACGCATAATTCAGGAAAGATGGCGCCACTTAGCTCGGCAAACCACGAAGGATCAATAACCTTTTGCCCCTCTCTCGACCTCGTATTCTACTTTTTCCATTACGAAACCTTGACGCATTTACCGACGTATGAAATTATTCAATTTGTCATTGCTTGTGGGTGTATAATATAAATTTCGTATCTGAATCGTATTTGAATGGCAGATAAATGGATGAGATTACTTTTTTTTTATTGTGTAATAAAATACGCAAAAAAATTGATTTTATAAATATAATGATTATAAATAATAATTTTCATAAAAATTGTCTTTATAATTTAAT